CTCTGCGCTGGCGCTGCGGCGCCAGCTTCTCTTTTTTTTGGCTCCTTTTATTTTTCTTTCTTATTTTTCTTCTATTCCACTTCGTTCTTCATTCTTTCTTCTCCACTCCATGCCTCCATCTATGATCATCATCGTCACTCCATTCCAAGCTTCAAATTACTCCATTTTGATTTAATTTGTCAAGCTAAAAAACAACATCAAAACACGCATCAAAACGTTCAAAAGTACTCAAGATCAAACTAAAAACTAAGATTTGAGAGTGCATATTTAATGAGGTGATTACACTCATCAAATACCCCCAAACTCAGCTCTTTGCTTGTCCTCGAGCAAAACACAAAACAACACATAAGAATAGTTAACTAAAATATACATAAAACGTACTAAGACATGGCTTCAGATTTCCTTTCCAGCTGGATAGATTATCTTCATGGCTTAATGTTGAGAGTATGATATCGAATTCATGAGTCATTTCCCAGTTATTGTACTGAAGTTAAATCTCACCTTTTCCATTGCAAAACACGTGCGTGAAAGGGAATTAAGAAAAGAACGTCATACATTTATAGGCTTCTTCAATCCCCGCCTTTAAAAGTCAATTATTTCCTTACTCCGCTCATGGATTCGTACACCCCCAAACTCATTTTCTTTTCACTTCCTTTTCCTTTTCCTTTTTCTAGGTAAAATCTATGGGTTGCTAACACTACTCCTTACTCTCTCTAGTCCGGATAGTTGTCACTTAATGTAGTTCAACATATCAATAAATGAGGATTCTTCCTTTTTTTTCGACTGCCTCAACCTCAAAGAATCAACTAAGTTACTAACCTCTTGTTAAAGGTTTCTTCCTCTAAAATGAGTCTTCGGGGCCGATCAAATTATATGGTGTTTCTCTTTATTTTTTTATTTTCCCTTTTGTGTGGACCTCTGTCCATTAAGTTTTCTAAATGACCCCTGTAGCGAGCTTTAGACCTATGACTCTCGAGTCAGATGACTTTACGGCATTATGTTTTAAACCCTTGCAGGCTTAGTCACTCGAGTCATAAAGGCTACGAATAGATTTTTCACAACGAGATTATTATAATCATCCAAAAAATATTTTATCTGTGCAATGCTCCTTATTAAACACTCATTCTCGAAAATTCTATCCCTAACTGAAGGTTTTCACTCAATTTTCATCCTTTTGATCTAACAGTCAACACAACTTTTAGCACACACGGAATCCATACCTACATCCATGTTTTCCTACGCAGTTCCAATATCTAAACAATATGGGATGCGAAATACTGTTTCATTTAGAGGTTGTTTTGGTTTAAACTTCTAAGGTCACTAATTTTCGACTATATCATTTATGAATTGGCCTACTCATGTCCGACGTTATGCTCAATTCACGTACTCACATATCACTAGTGTTTGCAATGATAAGTAAAATTCTAATTCAAGCACATAACTCATCATATTCATAACCGAACCATGTATCATAGTTAAAAATATTATCTAGCCCACACAAGCATGAAATTTTTTTTTGAAAAACATAAACACGTAACACATAGCTAAACTAAATAAACATAAACACAGTATACCCCCCCCCCCCAACTCAAATTACACATTGTCTCCCATGTAAAAATGAATGAAATAAAAGGGAGGGTACCTTAGAGAGGACATTAGATGTCGTCATCGTCAGCCGGTGGGGCTGAATGATTGAAGTGATCTGGGAACTGCAGTGGTAGAGGAAGAACAAGGTTGGGGTGTGAAGAAGAAATGGATGCAATGCACTCATTCTCGTATTGGAATTGTTGAAACATCAAATGCTGCAGTTTGTTAAATTGTTCCTGCATCTTGGACTGCCAATGGGTCGTGCTCAAATCTATAGCCTCAAGCCGGCTGAGAATTTTCCCTGTAGGATTGCTAGGCTGTGTTGGTGGAGGGGTAGGTGCTATGGGTTGTAACGCTTGAGATGAAATGGCTGTAAATTGATGTGCCGATAGCTTTGACTAAAAATCCCACGTGAGTGGTGGTTTAGGATGTAAAACTTCGTCAGACTCCCATGTGGCAACACCTGCTTGGACACATAGATCATGGATGAGAGATGGGTGTCCCAAATTGCCGGTAGGTCTTGCTAAGATGCGCAAGATGCTACGGTGAATGACTCTGCCTGCATTGATAGAAAGTCTCATCTGGATTGTATAGTTCAAGGTAGCTCGTTCTCTTATAACCTCGCCGAGGTTACTGTTGGGGATTAGTTTGGCAGAAATAAAGTGATGCGAAACTTTACAATTAAGCTCCAAACAGGCCGCAGGGAAGTTCGTCACAGTACTAGCGTTACGTCTCCATTCGGTACCTTCCCAAGCTAGTGTGTAAAGCAAAAGATCTAGGTCTATACCTTGATGCAGTAAACTCGAATACTCATTATTGGGTATATCTGGCGTGTGGTAGAATTTGTTAATGGATGCACTATCAAATTTGACCCAATGTCCTCGCACGAAAACCTTGAAAGCTTCATGTTCCTTGGCGTTAACGTAGAATTCATTGACTAAAGGGATGGAGCACACCTGAGGTTGCGAAGCAAATATTTTCCAGCCTAAATCTTGAATTTGGTCCATTAGTAAATTGTCAAATCCTCATTTCGGAATACAATTTTGGTGTACCACCGAATACCGATACCTCTTTTTCGCTTTGATGCTTACGAACCGTCGTTCATCATAAGTAGCGGTGGACGAAGAGGACTCCGTGACTTTGGATTTCTTTTTGGGTGGCATGGTACTTTAGTGTGCTGTAAGACCACAATTAGGAAAAAACATAAGAAATTAGATCAACAATATAGGTTTGGGTGGCACATTTCAAGTGACAATAGCAAGATTGGTATAAAAATTCATTGAGGCATTTTGACAAACATTTAGGCAATAAATTAAACTAAGCACATAGTCTATATTATTGGTCTCCCCAAAACCCAATCATGCATCACAACCCAAAACACTTCATCAATACCAAAATCAAGAAGTTTAGAAGGAAAAAATGTAGAAACCATATAGAGTTCATACATTAGCTTGTAGAAATCTCCACACTTACGTAGTGTATAGGTGAGATGAATAATAATGAAGTAGCGGTAGAAGAATGTTGAAGAAAGTTGAAGTGACTTTTGATTTTGTTTGTAGAAAGTTAGGGTGAAAGGGGAGTGGGGAAATTAGAGAGGAGAGGTTTGTGAGAAGAAGAGAGAAGAAAAATTGAAAAGGGGTTGAAACCCCCTTTTCTCCCTTTAAAAAAAACGATCGGCGCCGCGTCGCCCGGCTTACTGTAAAAAAAAAAAAAAATTTTAACATACCTCTCTCGTGATCCATT